CTTTTTAACAAAAAACATATATTCTGATGCCATACCCGAGACCCCTCCAGATCCGAAAAATAATTTTGAATTGCCACACTGTGACCCTGTCCATCCTGAAGTTTTCTCGAAATTCTACGTCTGTATACAAATCCACTACTTCCTCCATAAAATTGACTCTAGGTCAGGGCATTGTAAAATATAACCATTGTAATATTCTCCAAATTCAAATGAATTTAGTGATACTCAAAACAATACCCATGATACCTCGAGCTCGCAACCCATCTTCCTCTTCGCTACTTGAACTATCACTGTCAGTGAGTAATTTGTTCCAAAAAAACATTGCTATGAGATCCATTAAAATAAAAATTGAGGTAATCGAAGAATCTTATATAAGTACAAATCAAGTCAACGCGCCGAAGCAAATCAAAGTGACAGTTGATAGAATAAAGTTGTCCCGTAAAAAACGTTCGTTGGTGCTAACCATAAACTGAAAAGTAGTTACCAGTCCGGTGAGTCTGGGCGATTAACGGAACATACGCATTGTTTTAACAAACAAGTTGAGTTCGGATATCAACTCCAATAACTCTTTTCACTCCTTATTCGCTCAGATTTTAAAAACGGAATGAACGAAGTGCAAATTTGATTTTTCAGGAATGGAGTAAAAATAATTACTCCTTCTATTCCTTCAGTACCGTCTTCTGAAGTAGACATGCACATTTGCAATGGTTTTGGAGTATTTTTATGCACTGGCATTACAGCATTAGTGACGGAACTCGCTTCATTACTCTTTTTCATGTTCATTTTCCACATCTAGAACACATATGTGTGTTCTAGATGTGGACCATCTGCTCCTGGGAATACCACAACAATTCGTCCTTTGGGCCAGTGATTTCGTGATAGGTCACTGTCAACTAAAACAAGTGTCTATTTATCTTGGGTTTAAAATTCTTTGGTTATTTCTTGTCAATTTTTTTTGACATCTGATATTTCGACATTTGTCAAAGGACAACTGGTTCAGTCTTTTTGGTAATTTAAAAAGGCATTTCATATTTTGAAAGTAATTCAAAATGCCAGAAATAACTCCTAGAAATATTGTTGAAAGATTTTTCTGCGCTGTTGGAAATGTTTTGGACGCTCCTGCAGTTTGGGTCAGAGGTAGATTCCACAAAATTAGAATTTTCAGAAACCTAAAATTTTGAAAAAAAAACACTAAATTCCATCCTATAAAAATTTCACTCTTTTCTGCAGAAAAAATTGTGGAGCCCAATCAGAAGAGTTATCCTTGGTATCACCAGAAGTTTCGAAGAGTTCCAACCATTGACGAGTGCTATACTGATGATGCAGTTTGCATATATGAAGCTAATTGTCAATACAAAAGAGACAAGTGAGCCCTATTTTGTTAAAGAATCTAGATTTGCAATCAGTTATGTAATCATTTCAGGCAAGTCGATTCAGAAATCTTGACTATCCTCCGAGAAAGATTTGAAGCTTGTTCAATGTATGAGGCTCCAGATCACTTAGAAAAGTGTACTCCACTTTTTCGACAATATGAAGAAGCAACTAATAATTGGTTCATCAAATGTGAGTTTTTACCAAAGTAACTGTTGCTTCTTTTATCGACTCTGCTGTTACTTGATGAAGATCCATAGTAATTTCACAAACTACACTGGAAACAATTTGATTTTCTCAAACTGTATTTTCAAAAATAGAGCTGCAGAAATTAGAACCGATTCCAAATTATTTGTCATCCATTTATAAAATATAAAGTTCGCCTCCTTCAAGTAAAATTAACTGGAAATTATTATATATAAATCATTTAGATACTGTAACAATAACTGCAAGATTGTTGGTTTACAAGCGTAACATTTATCCGTGCTATGGAATATCAATCACTGTTTTCAGTTGTGAAATGTAAAACATGTAAATTTAGCAGATAGTTTGTGATTGAATAATAAGGCAGTCGAAATTGTTCAACAAAAATATGTAAACATTTTGACAGAGAAAATACTTTGTATAATTTTTGACCCAAGTCATTCCAAATAAAATATCAATAAGTTTGTTTCTAATGAATTGTTGATTAAAAGTCAATAGGGTGTTCCTTATTATTGAATCAGCAAATAGATATTCCTTATTGCTGATTCAACTTTTAAAGTCTTCATACTTCTAAAAATGCCATCCAGTTGAGAAATTCTTGAAAGGAAAACTGTCAGCTATAGCTATGTAATTAACATGTGACAAAATAGAGACTGATTTTTATGTTTTCAGATGGAGATTTAGGGGCTTATCATAATGCTACAAGCGCCTACATGAAACAAAAACATAGAATGATTTGGGAACGTAGA